CACCAGTTGATAGCGCCTTGGAGGGAATTACCCAGCAAGGCTGGAATGGGCGCTTTCTCGAACGTCACGTGTCGAAAACCACGTAGCTCTTTCTCGCGGCCGTGCGGCCATAGGAGGCTCGGAGCACACGGGAGAGGAAGAGGTCGTGTTAATGACAGTGTGCTGCTGGGTGACTCGGGCCTTCGGAAGCGTTCGCTTTGTCCCCTAGTGTGTGACCCTGGGTTGTGACACTGCCTTCTGTCTTTTCTCTCCTGGGTCTAATGTTCGCCTTGAGCCCCCTCTGCTTCCAACGGCCACCACCAGCCCCCCGCCCCCCATGAAATTCCTTCTCCTTTAAGTCGTTCATTTAATAAGCGTCTATCGGACATTATCAATATTGCCCATCGAAGACCGCCAGGAACACACCGAGTAGAGCCAAGTGCTGATTGGCTGTCGCCATGAGGGAGACAACTGATTGGCTGTCGCCATGAGGGAGACGCACACCATACAGAATTCAAGTGCCTTGGGGCATGCGAGAAAATAAAAGATGTTGGACTTTAGACTTTCCTGCAAAAATAAACACTTCGCCATATCTTGTGATTACAGAAGCTAAGCAAACAGCAAGGACGGAAGCCCTTTTTCCACTATGGGCGGCAACCCGGAGTCACTGGCGGTGGTGGGGCTGGGGGAGGAAGGTGGGGATGTGGGACCCCACAGTGGAGGAGAGAGGAGCGAGCCATAGTTGAAAAAGTGACACGGATCACACACTCCGGGATCGTTTCAAAGGATCAAAGCATCCTCGTCAATGACCGTCAGTGGGCGGTCCATCCTGTGCCCCCTGAACCCCATCGACGGTCTTCCAAGCTCGGTCCCAGCCGCATCCCTGACTGCCCGTCTTGGGAGGCTCCACGCAAGACCTGGAGATGGAGCTCAGGAATCTCACCTCCGCCTTGATGACTTGCCGCTGCCTGGCCCCCTCCCTTTCCTTGTGAGATTGGGTGCTCCTCGGGCCCCACACGCAAAGCAGCCACCCTGTGATGACAGGGAGTTGCCATAACATCACGGCCTGGTCACTTCCCCCAGAGCACCAGGCCACCTCCCCAAGAGTCACCGATCTCAGGAGTCCCATCCCGAGAAGCCTCGGCTTCCTTCCTGATGCATCAAGGAAATGGAGAGACTGGTCCAGCTGGATGAATCTTGGAAGAATTTCATGGCTTAGTCATTACAATTAGTGTTATGGGAGCGGGTACTGCAGGCTCCCAGGTCCAGCTCCTTGGAGTACATTCTGGACATTCCATGCTCGAAGCCGGGGATGAATCGACAAACACCGAATCTTCTGCCTTTGCTGGGAACTCACAGTTTTCTGTCCTGTCTCCTCCCACCCCCACAGCCAATGCATTCCATGGCAAGCGGCTGAGTCACTCTTAAGGAAAATGGGAAGAGGCAGCCAGAAAGTGCCACGTACGTACCTTCCATGCCGGTTCGAAGGTCCGCGTCTCTAAGCATCGTACACAGACCCCAAACCCCTCACCCCGACAGCTGAGGCTAGGCAGCCCCCAGCGCTGAGGCTCAGCAG